TTTGCTTGACTTCCTCTTTGTTGGGATGTATATTGGGTTTGGGTTTGTTTTCCTATTTTTAAGTATTTATTCATTGTTGATTCATTATTCCCAAGCTCTCTTAAATCTACTTTTTTTCCATTCTGAACAGACGGCTGTGATATCTTGAGGGATCCTGGTAAAGATGTAGTGAGTTGTGCTTATAGGCAAACACTTCTAATATCTTAGTTCTATTACAAAGACTTACCAGATAATTTGTGTTTAGTTTCATTTGGAAGTGTCCATAGTTCCCTTTTTCTTATTTGATAATAAGTGGAAATACATAATAGCATGAACAGGTTGACAGTCTTTGTAAGCACGAAGACTCACAATTAACACTAGCTGCAATCCTGAAATTCTTCAGACAACCCTCACTTGAATGAGAGCTTTCCTTGAACCAAGGGAACTTTTTGATTCTTTTGATTTCAGTGGAAGAGTTGGCAATTCGTGTTTGATAGAATGCTTAGTAGGAATGGAAAGACAAAGTCTTCTACTGTGAAAATGTAGTTTCTGCAAAACAGGTATGTGGGCAGACATGTGGACAGATGCCTTTCTCATCAGAATACATGGTCTGAACAGCTATTCCAAAGACTTTGGTTTTTGTTAGTAGTCTTAATGTTCCTCCCTCAGAACAGCTCAGCTTGCAACCTTAATTCTTCTCTCCTGGAGAGTTGTTTCCAATTCTTTTTGCAGGTTAAACTGGCAGCCTCCAGCATGAGGGCTGCTGGAACCCCCTTGGAGTTCTCATACCAGGACCAAAATCTGGTTGCACGGTGGGGTTGTGAGGAGACCACAAGTCTGCCTTCTGACAGAGAAGATATTGATGTCATGCTAATTGACAGATTTTTCCAGACTTAACTGAAGAGCAATGTAAAAGTTTTCTGTGGGTTTCATACATTAAACTTTATGAAGGTCTTCTCCCTCTGAGCAATAAAATCTTTTTCAACAAACAAACAAAAAAACAGAAGGTGGCTAGACTCAGCACTCTGGAAGTGCCATTTCCAATTTGAGCACTCTTGAATTCTTTATGAAAAACCACTGAAATAAAGTTCTTAAAAATTGTCTAGTATTTATAAACTGGGATCACTCAAGAAAGCTGCAGTAGGATTTGTGGGTGTTGGATACATTTAAAAATCAGCATGATCATTTAAATATATACAACCATGTTTGATCACTTGTGGCAACAAAATAAGGTCTAAGTTTATACACTCACATGCTCTTACCTACTCAGATATAGTCCTTGAGTAATCCTAGTGGATACTATTTAACTTAAAAATAGCATGCAGCCCTATAATTTCTCTGCTGGCAGTTGAGCATCCAGTGCCACACTGTACCCTACATGTTCCTTTAACTTATTTTCCTAATTAAAGTTTGTGAGGCACTAAACGGTTGCTATTTAGGATGGCTGTAAATAGCATTTGTATATGTAACAGCATAGAATAAATGATCTCTAAATTAGCGATCGAATAGGGTGCATAATATTTGCCAGGAGCTTTGCTGACATGCAGGCTTCTGCCTGCGGTAGGCAATCACTTCGATCTTTTCACGTCACCTCAAAAAGTATTCAGCTTCATCCAAAAGCCTTATTAAATATTTGCTCAATGTATTTTGAATTATTACTGATTTAAAGATTTTAGCCCATTATCAATACTACAGCAAGCTTTCTATTTCTTGGTCATTTCAGATCTTGTTGCTCTAGTTCAGAGCTTGTAAGCCGCCATCGTCGTTCTGCTTTCTGACTTACCCACGTTCAGTGGGACAGCTGTAATTTGCTCATTTTATGAGAGGAGCCTATTGAACCGAAAGGTTTTGTTTAATGTGAAAGTTGGTGGAGTACACTGGATAGGAGTACAGACTGAAGTCAAACCTTCAATGAGAACGTTCTTAAACATTCAAATTCAGGATGTGGATCAAGCCTGAATTTTCCCCAAAATTCAGCTGTTTGAATTTGCTGTAAATAATGATGGGTTTGCTGTAAGTTTCATATTGTGAGTTGGGCATATTTCTGAGTGTTTTAATATTAAAGCCAATTTACACAACCTAACAGGAAAGGTATAATTAATATTAAGTTGATAAAATTTATCACTTTTTAATGCAACCCTGTAAACTGGGCTTTCATGAATGTGATTGCAAGAAAAATTTATGCTTTTTCTGATTATTTGAATTATTTTTATGGTAATGATTATTCCAGTTCACATTTTAATGACTTGATGACATGTGTTTCCTGGTTCTCATCCTGTCGGATATGATGATTCTTCCTTAGATAAGAATTTTCAAATATTTATTTTGTAACACTATGCCACAATATTAAAGAAGGAGAGGAGAAATTGTTTGGCTTGTAAAAGAAATTTTTTTTCTACAAGTCTAACAGTTTTAGCTGAAGTGTTTGAATACCTTGACAAAAATGTGTTGTCATCAATTCTGCTTTTATTCGTATAATGTATATATTGCTATACATAGGTTTCAATTTCCAGCTACAGAAAAACAGAAATTCAATAGCACTTTGTTTGAAAAGAACATATAGCTTATTTATTTGAATTAGGCCCAGGGAAGCAGCATGCCAAAAATGTTAGTGCACCTACACACTTGGAGGCCATTTGAAGGAAGGTGAAGCCACTTTATGAAATTATAGATTATTTAAGGAAATGTAAACAGCATGATTGAAGATACAACATCAGCCACAGAGAAGAATAATCTTCATTACTGAGCAGAATGAAAACACAACCACTCCATCAACCTTCCAACGTTTCTTGCAGTCTTTTACTAGTATTAGCATTGCTGTGTTCCCTTATTATTGTCCTGAATGTTTCTGTCATTACCCACAGGCTGTAACGTTCTTCTGTAGCTGTTCTATGCTCATATTATGCTGAGGTACAATCTTTATGGTCCTTTTTAAGCTCCTTTCTTTAGATACCATTTTCAGAATGTGATTGTTTACTACTTCATAAATTTGTGTATTTTCTTAAAATGGACTGTATAAACCAGAAAATTTCCCCTTCCCAAGAGTTCTGGGGACCTATTTTTGCATGCTTTGTTTGGCTGTACAAATCTGCTGCCTTCTCATGTAGCGCTGGAAAATGATTATCAGATTACCTTTAATTTTGGTTGATGCATTTCTGCCAGGCAAAAGCAATAATCACTGTAATAGTTTTGTTTTCCAAACTTCTACTGTTTTTACTTCTACTTGCAAAGGCAGCACATTGCCAGGAAGGTTAAATGCTTTACATTGCAGTGTTACATGTGAGTAAGGGTGTTTCATTGTTTATTTTAGGCTCAACCATGAATTTCATCCAGGCTTTCTGCACTTAATACAATCTTTTTATGCCACAAAAGCAGTTCTAAAGGGTCAATTCAGGCTGCATATTTAAATTAGTGTTAGTGATGGGATGAATGTGCTATAAAATTCTGCTTGCAAAGCTGCCTGGTTTTCTTCAAGGCAAGCATGAAACATGAACATTATATTCTCAGGTCATCATCACAGAAAAATATTTTTTCCTAAATCCTCTTGCGCCTTTGGATCACAAAGCGGCAAAGACTGCACTGTATCTTTCTTTGATTTTCTTATTCAAAAAGGGTGGAGCATTTCTGCATGCTTTGCCATTCAAACATTCCTGGTGGTTCTATTTTCAACTCAAATTTTTTAAATTAGTAACAGATGTGCTGATTCTTTTGACTGAAACAGAGGACAAATTTTTCTACTATATTTTGAATAAAGTTTTTTAAACTTTTACTGATTATTGAACACTGACTGCTAGTTTTTGTTCCCAGCCTTCACTGTAAACAGTATCTTACACCACAGAAATCTCACTGAAGTCAGTGGGGACTAATCCTGATATTATAAATATGATGAGGGGCAGCAGAACATGTTTGGAGGGACTATAAAATGCAGCTTACAGAGGTAGACCCCAATAAGGTGGAGCATCCCAGTATTGCATATCCCAACCTTTTTATGTATGTTTTGTTAATATATCATCCCCAACAAAATTGCAAAGCAAGTAGCCTGGAAAATAATTGGCATACATACATACATATGTTATTGGTAATGCTGGTCCATTGGCACAAAACATATAGAAAACTCTTGCACAGCAGAACTCCCAAGAAACTTTATAGCTCTTGTGCACAGTGGATTTGGGGGGTCTTGATAGCTCTCAAGCAGGAAGGAAGGCTTGTAAGACAGAAGAGACTCTAGAGGAAAAAAAAACAACTAAGGAGAATCAAATTCCAATTTAAGGAATATAAGTTGGAACCATAACATTGAATTTTTAAAAAGATTTTTAAAAATATTTGAAGGCAAACTAGGTCTTGACCTTCTGGCACACAAAAGGAAACAAACACCATGTTGCAAATGTAAAAGGCAGGAGCCAACCATTTTTGTAGGTACAATACCTGCTTCACTTAAAAGGAGATGAAACTTATACGTAATTAAAAGAAGCCTGATTTTTTTCTTCCAAGCATACTGACAATATTCAAGGTATGTTTAGGGGCCAATATGAAACAGGGATGAAAGAAATACAGAAGCAAATTGCGGTTTGCTGTTGTGAAAATACCTCTGGCTCACATTTAAGAATATTTCACAGATTTAAAGTTTTCAAAGTTTGGTTTTACTTATGAACATTTTAAGTTGTCTTGAGAAATTATACAGCTCAAACATTCAAACTTTACAGAAGTGAAACAAAATTAATTCGTCAGATAAGAGAAATCTTTTGTCAAAAATGCTTTCCTGTTGGTGGAACACTGAACTTAGTCTTCTGGGTGCTTCAAGGCCCCTGGGCTGACTTGCTATATTTGTCTAGATAGGAGTTAAATAAATGCAAATTGTCTGTCTTTTGATGACTCTGAAGTAGTTCTCTTCTTTTTTTTTTTTTTCTTGGGGCAGGAGGAAAGATGTCACTTGGATGTCAGGAAGCTTTTGAAGTTTTCAAGAGGGACCATGCTGACAGTATAACCATTGAGGACAACAAACAGCTTCTAAAACAGAGGTGAGTGTCACAGCAAGATACAGCTGGAGGCCGACATCTGAGACTTCATTATAAGCCTG